TTAGATACGTTCATGTGTGATGGGATCTGGATTCACGGTTCAACTAGGTGAATATTAACTAAACCGCATAAAGATGCGGCTAAATAGCCGAAGTTAATACTACTATAATTTGATGTTTAAAAATAGAACATGCTGTCAGTCAAAATGACTGGGAACAATAAAGTCTAGCGCGACCTCTGCAATAAGAACAAAATAAATCATCATAAAGAAACATTTTACACAGAAAAAAATAATTCACAGTAACGTAGAGCTTCTTATTGGAGCTAACAGAATGTAAACGGCTTTCAATGCATTGTGACCCTTTAGTGCAGAAGTAGTGCTGACGACTCATGATGTTCAGGCTTTGTGGCTCCACACGATGCAAAGCTTCATCACTACACAAAAAAAGCATTCAGTTGTCACTCTGTGTCAGTTTATAGATGAAAATATTTTTTTTAAAATACATACACACACATATATATATATATTATTACAGCAAAGTTACCTGAGGTTTGAAGGAGAGGCGCCTGAAAAACGTGTTCACCTCGTGCGCGGTGACTTTCCCGGCCGCCTCGGTTTCCTGGTTTTCGCCCAGCTGGACGATTTGTCCCGTCTTGATGGCGGCTTTGAGGCTGGTGCTCTCCACTACCTGAGCGCTGGTCTCTGAGCCGGTCGTGGGCCTGGAGGACACGGTGATGTAGGTGGCGTCTTTCAGATACTCCAGGTAGCTCACTGGCAGAGAGGGAGATTGGTGTTACACACTGGAAACATTTTCAATCCATTTTTTTTTGCCTACTAAACAGTTTTGACTGATTTCATGTTCTCAACCAAAAAAAAAAAAAATAGACATGAGTGTGAATTGTGGAGCAAAGCTCAGTTAAATTGGATTGAAGGCTTTTTTTTTTTTCCCCAAGACTTGTCGATTTTCCTCAGACCTGAACTTTGACTTGACTGTTCTAACTTTTATTCAAACAAATGTGTTTTAAATACACCAAATGTTCAGCTCTGGTTGTTCAGCTCTGGTTGTTTAATTAGGATTGTTGTCTCAAGTATCTCACAGCCTCTTAACAGGTTTAAGTTTCCCCACAGCATGATGCAGCCACCACCATGTATTCCAGTGGAGGTTGGTGTGTTTACTGTGATGTGCAATATTAATTTTATAAGCACACAGCATTTTGTATATACAAACAGACTTGACTTAATAATTATTTAACTTGCAATGGATTTTAAAGGAATCAAAGCAAAGGCGGCTGAAAACATAAGCATGCCACACTTTAAAGACTTTTTTTTTTTTTTAATAAACATCCATTTCACAATTATTTTCTACTTTGTGTTGGTCCGTCACATAAAATCCCAATAAAATATATTGAAGTTTATGACTGCAGGGGTCTACAACCTGTGGCTCCAGATTTCAAATGGAGCATAAATACTTCTACAAATCTGTAAACGATTTCATTTTAAAACATCGGCCTAAAACCAAGTGAAATGGTGAAGTGCCTCGGTTTGTCTCACCTGCAGATGTGACCGCTGTGTCCGTGGTGCTGCTGAGCTGCAGCAGCGCTGCAGGATGTGCAGGATGCAGCAGGAAGAGCTTCCTGATGAGCGGCTCCGCTGCGGCCACGCCCGGCGCCATCTGGACACAGATCGCCACAAGTCACATACACACACACACACAAACACACCGTTGTTATTATTCCTCCATCCTCCAGTAGACAATCAGACTCAGCCGTAGAGTCTCACCGTCATCCTGGGAACGTTCCTCTGTGCTCTGATTGGCTCGCTGGCCCAGAACAGGAAGACCGATTGGCCGGTCGAGGTCGATATGGCGGACGCTTCCAAAACCAGACGAGGGCACACAAACTCAGCCTTCCAGAGGGGCGTCCCGCTCGCCCCGCTGACGATCAGCGCCTGGCGGACGAGGAGCAGGGCGGGAAAACCGTGAGATTGAGTCGAAGCGTGTTTTACACAAAGAAGAAAACGTCTGACATCACCAAAGAGTCAGATAAGCAGATAATTACCGTCATGATGCCATTTGCTGAATGCTGAACAAAAAGGTCCAGGACTCCGTCGCTGTTGAAGTGACCCAAAGCTGGCTCGCTGTGGGGAGAAAAAATGTAACATCAACCTGTACGATTGAATAACTTCAGAATAATTTGTATTGACAGAAGCTGAAATGTTTCATCGTTTTTTGCTGCTCAGACACTCAGAGGTGTGCGACCTGTGAATCGAAGCGTTGCTGAAAGTCCACTGCTTGTGTAAGTCGCGCTGTCGGAGCACGGACAGCGTCCTGGCCCCGTAGAACAACACCCAGTCGCTTCTGGTCGAGTTCAGGCTGGAGACTGCGTCCAGACTGTTGCGGTTGTTCCCAAAACCGGCCACTAGGGGGAGCAGGAACTCCACACGCTCTGAGCCACTAGAAAAGAAAAAAGGACACAGCAAAAAGTGAGATCACTCTTTCTTTGTCTTGAATATGGATTGTAGGTAGAAAACAAAGGAATAAGTTAAGAAGAAATAAACTAAAATTTTAAGGTTAATCTCAGAGATTTTCTAGAAAAAACTTGGAAATTTAGACTTTTGAAACTTAGAAATTTCCCCCCTAGGAAATCTAAGATTAATCTCAAAATTTCTGTGTTTTTCTCCTTTTTCTTTTTTTATAATACGCCGTTGTAAATACATTTTTTTCCTCTATATGTAAATGCTCTCAAATTAGAGCTGGATTTTCCCTTTTTTCTCTCTTTTAGGAGAGTTTATCTTAAAACCTTATGAGTTCTTCCTTGTTTTTTCCAGGAGAAGCAATAACTGAAGGTCGTACCTGTAAATGGAGATAAAGGAGGAGGAAGAGGCGTTCTTCATGTTCTCCCAGCGCAAATCCTTCCTCAAAACAAAACGGGTTTCGGGCATTTTGTCCAACGCGCGAACGTAGATATCTTGCAGAGAGATGGCCTGGACGTTACCTGGAGACACGGTGAATCATATGAAAGTGGAACTCAGTCAGTTTCGGTGGGTTTAGCTGTGGTTGTGAGTCCGGTCTCGCTCTGCCTCACCCAGTCCAAACAGGATGTAGTACGCTCCATGCTGCGTCTCATGCAGCAACGGACCGATGAGCTTTCCTTGACCTCTGAGGTTGAAGGGGACAGGATGTCCAATTTTCTTTCCCGTCTGACCGGAGATTAGAGTCAGCGATAAATCCAGAGTCTGAAAATGAATATTAAAAAAATGCACGTTAATACAGAAATAAATCGAAACAAAACCCCCAGGATCCAGCTTCGTTTAGTGATATGAGATATAAGAATCTGGGAACAGGAAGAAATAGGAAAAATCTTTTACAGTTACGCTCATTTTTAAATTAAATGAACGCTGAATGTGAAAAAGTCAAACGGTTGGCATGTTTTCACCTCATCAGCGGGGAGAGTAGCTAGAAGCAGATCTGGGACGGAGTCGCCCTGGAGGTCAGGAAGCAACACAGCCTGGGATTCAATGTTTCTAAGGGCGACCGACCACAACTTCCTCCCTAAAGAGAGAAAAATAAAACATCTTTGATCACATATTATTAGGAGCTCAAGCACTATTTCTATTTATTTAATAACAAATATCTAATATTTATTATTTTATAGTCCTCAGTAATTAAATAATAATTTCTAGATTTTCTTATCTTCAATTGTCTACAGAGTTTAAATGCTAAAGTCAAATTATATCTTCCTTGAAAGATTACGACCACCAAGCATAAAATTAATAACATCAATTGTAATTAATATATTCTATAATTCCCTTAAATATGGTATATGTATTTATATCTTGCTCTCGACTGTGCTTTTCTTATTTTAATAAAGTTATGTGGGGAGGACAGAAAAACGTGAGGAGAGAAAATGATTTCAAAATAAAAGCACAAATATAAACATCGAACTAGTTGAAGAAGTCTTTAGTTGAAAACCAAAACTTCAACACAGATGTCGAAGTTTATTAAACTGAAGGTTTTACAAAGCAGCCGAGTAAAATTACCGCTTTAGATTTTATATGGAAAATATAATTTAGGGGATGATAAGTCCGCTAGACGTTTTCAAAGTCAGCAAAAACACTAAAGCGCTAAGCTAAAAAAGTAGCTGCACTGTTAGCGCATTAGCAAGATTAGGAGAAGGGTGCCCACCAAACTCTGAAAACCAAGTTAAACTTTATACTTTTTGGGATTCAGAAAATGATGAAATACAAAAATAACTTTTGTTTTCTTAGGCGATTTGTTGGTGCTTCATGAAGGCGATGCTAACCTGTGGCGCCGTTGACCGCCATGAGGTTGGACTTTCCGATAATGAGGCAAACAGGCGACGGCTGCGTGTTCAGCTGCAGACCGCACTGGAGGTACATGACCGGCTCGTTCAGGACTTCCCTCCACAGCACCCGGCCGCTGACGGCGCAGACGGCCACCGCGCTGTAGACTGGAACAATAAAATCCTTTTAGAGGGGGGAAAAAAATAAAAATGAACCCGAAACATCCTTTTCACAGAGCTGACCTTTGCTCCTTTGCGTCGCATGCGTGCCATTGGTCCATTCAGTAACACCCAGAAGCACGTCCTCCACCGAATCACCGTCAACGTCCCATAAAGCCAGCGCGGGCGGAGTGACGCCTGAACAATAACCAAAGACAAATGTTAGCCTCCTTCTGCTAAACCCACCAGCTGCTTCCGCTGAAGCTGGTTTTATTTTATGTGAAGCATTGTGTCGGGATGCAGTTAAAAACAAACCATACTGTATAATCCCAAGCGACTAAATATAAAAAGGAGACATGGCTGTCTAGACAGCAGGACTCCTCAGTAAGGCTTAAGTGCTACTTTAGGTGTTTATTTCGCCCTGATTTGCCGACCTGCTAATAAGCGTTTGTGTATGTTTGACTGTAAACTGCAGATTTCTGGGTCATCTTTACCTCCTGCGTCTCCCAGCGCTCGTTCCCACTGCAGCTTCTTCTCCAGCTCTGCCTTCTGGCAGGGAACCAGGAACGCACACAGCAGCACGATCAACATGGCACAGACGAGAGGCACCAGGAAAAACGCGCTCCGGATCGCGTTTTTCTCTCTCCTTCTCTTCTCCTCTGCCTCAGAGCTGTGAGAGCCCAGCCCGGCGGCCCCAGACGGACCGGCTCCTCCTCCTCGGTCCTCCCCGTTCCCCAGCTCCCCGCGGCTCCAGTACTGGCCGCCCTTCAGGTTGCCCCGGCTCCTTCTGGGCTTGCCGGAAACTTGGGCCGTCCACTGGTCGTCGTCGCCGTCTTCTTCTTCCTCCTCGTCATCTTGCGCCCTGTCGGTGGCGCCGATGAGCCTTCCCGACCTCCCGTTGCGCGTCTTGGAGGAGCCCGGGGCCAGGCAGCCGTCCCTGCCCAGGCCGTTTCTGGGGTAGTTGAGCACGAGGTCATCCTCTTCGCTCTCGTCGTCGCTGTCTGCCTGGGTGAGAGGGTCGTACTCCCCGAGCTCCGAGCCCTTCTTCCCTGCAGGAACAAGAACAAAACTGGATTTGTTGCCATGACAACACAGAGTACTCATAAAACCAAGGAAGTATGCTCTTCAGGGTTACCATGGCAACTCATATAATGCTAGCAGATGTTCTTAGTAGGACAGCGTTCATACATTTCACTTTTTTGTATAACTGAGAATGGATCAAAGCTGTTGATTTTTTTATAACCAACTCTTGCCTTAAACGTTTCCACAACCTCCTGTCTGTGTTGCTGCTTGGCCTTCATGATGAGGTTTCTTTGTTTGTTCTCCAACAAACAAAGAAATTCATACTGAGATTAAGTTAAACACAAATTCAATTGTTTACTTACTAGGCGGCTTCTGGAGCTGGCTTTTATTTAGGAAAGCAAAGGAAGACTGAATATGAATTTTTATTCGTAACAAAAAATTTAGAAGAATTATATGAATAATTTTCCTTCCCGGTAGTGGAGAAGCATAGTACCTTCGAGTGTAGAAACTCTGTTTTTTTCCAGTCTGCAGAAATTTGCCTCCAGCTAGTCTGTCACCAATGTCATCAAGCAAATTCTATTCATTTTTAGCATTATTTGCATATTTGCTTATTTTTCACGTGTCTATATTTGAATTTAAATACTTTATTTATGATGATGATGAAGCTAAACCTAGTCTGAAACTATCTTAACCATAGAGCCATAGCTCAATAATAATAAAAACAACAATAAAATTATACTGAACGAATGTCAATTAGATATATATTAAAATATATATATATATACACACACACACACACATATATATATAATTAAATATATTTTTTGGTAGCACGCCATTTGTAAAATATCATCTTCTTCATCCGCTGCCTTATGTCCTATTTCTGCACGTAGCAGCAGGTTTTTCTTTTCGCCGGGTAAAAATAAGCGGGCTGTTAGCTAAATGTAGGACTGAAAAATAAACTGGTTTCCGCCATATGTAGTATCGTCATTAGTCACAAAAATGTGAAACAGACCAGTTTACGCTTTACAAAACCACTGAATGAACCAAACATTCGTCGTGCCTATAATTACAGGAGAATACACCATACTGTTTATAGTGATACCATTAGCGACCTGTCGCTTTCTCTCTCTTTTTCTCAGTCTATGAAATAAGGAGGAATAACTGTCGCACATCTCACCAGGCAGTTTGAGGGCACGGGACAGAGCTGCAGCCATCGTTGGTCCTCTCGACACCGACGCAGAGCAGCGAGGACGTCAAACAAGCGCTGGAACCAACCAGCTATGCCCAAATGCATTCTGGGAGTTGGGGTTTTTTCCCCTGAGGCTGGTGCGGCGCGTTTTGTCCTGCAAATAACCCAGGGGAAAGTAAGACAGACTGCTTGAATAATTTGTGGGGTTTTTCCATTCAAATTATATAAGTAAAAAATTTAAATCCTTTTGTAGTTATTACAAAATCCATGTAAAAAAAAAAATACAGTCATATTGTTCTGTAGCCTTTATGTGTTATTTTCCCCCTTTGAAATGAGAAAACTAAATTCTGTTATCAAACTTTAAGTAGTATAAATAGTTTATTTGAAATGTGTAACAACAGCTGACAGCTGCTGATCTGGCTTCTGGGTCCTGATGCCCAGCTGTATTATGGGACTTAGCGCTTTTATCATTCTAACAAAATGAGATGTAAGAGTTGCCATGATTGATATATCCATAAAATCTTTAAGATTTCATATTCAACATTTTATTTTTCACATGAATTGGGGTCGGGGAAGGTCCTAGTCCCGCAAGGCATCTCGCAAAGTAGGCGAGTCACCAAAACAGGCAGACCTATGCCCTTTCAAAAATTCCTCTCGTATTTTGAACGAGGATACGGGCGTCACCCCGCATCGTTATTTTCCTTACTCATCAGTTTAAGGCATAACCAATGGAATGTCGATTAGCAGCACTAGACATCTTGCCATGGCGTTCTCAGTCAGGGTGCGGAATGAAGGCGACCGACTGGAGAGCAGTTATATTTACACAAATATCTTACAATAGACGAAGTTATATTATTTAAAAACAATGTACTCTGATAAACATAAAACAGTCTATCTGCCTAAAAAACGTATATATTTATCAAAAAGGGGGCGCAAAGCCTTGTGGGTAATCCGAATTATTTTGGATTTCGTCGAGAGTAACTAATAACAAATTATAAAATAGTAAAACGGTCAATTTTAACAATTAAATGTACGGTATTCTTAATGTTAAAGCCCATGATGGGAAAAGGAATAAAACTGCCAAGTTTAAATATTTTTTTCAGTCCACAGAGACTCATTTTCGTCCTTTTTGGTCTAAAGCGGTGTCCATAATGATTGTCAAAAGCTTCTGTGACGCGCACGCTCAGAAGTAATAGTGTATGAGAAAATGGCAGACGTCTCGTTGGATGAAGTTATACGGCGGCGCGGTATTAACCAAAAACCTCCACCTAAACGGTTCGTACAATGCAGTTGAATTTTAAATTCTATTAATGAAGGACTTGTGAAGCTTTTTGGTGCAAATGTGAAAGAATACAGTTTAAATAAAGCTGCAGTTCGCTAGCTGTTGTGTGGCAGCTACGGTATGCTAAAAGCTAAGCTAAGTAGCAACCACTAGCAGGAGGCCTTCAGAAATGAAGCGTTTAATTTTGACAAAACACGACGTAATCCAACGTGTAACACCTAAATCTATTGGCGGCTGCTATAAAAGCCCACTAGCGCATTATTGCGTCACATTTAATTTACGTTTTGCTTTTATCTTCTCCTTTCGGATACCTCTGCTAATATTTATTCTTTACGTCGAATTGTGATTATTCTACCACTCCTTGAAGAAATGTGGCTCCTACAGGCTCTACTCTGTTTGTATACGAGCTATATCAACATTAATCACTTTCTAAAATGTAACCACTGTACACTGTTAATTTAAACAAACTTAAATTGCATCCAAACATTGCAGAGGACAGTCAGTCTCAATGTACATTTCTAGCGCTGTTTTAGAAGGTAAAGTAAAATTACACTATATTTCAAAAAGACAATTTTTATTTATTTTTTTTAATTTTTATTTTTGCAGTTTTAGAAATATACATACATTCAACATTCAGACTCCCTCTAACAAAAAGTACAGAGCATCTAGTTGGACAAGAGCAATTAAATTAAAATGACCAATTTTGATAAGAAAATCTAAAACTTGAGTTGCGCCATGAGGTCTGAAAAAACCCCCCATTGAATTAAAATAATTGGTCTGAAAAAAAAAAACATTGAATTAAAATAATTGGTCTGAAAAAAACAACATTGAATTAAAATAATTTTTCCCAGTCTGGATTAGCGATTGGTGTAGAGCAATATTTTCTTTTCCAGATTTGATTCTTTATGCGATTGACAACTTAAAATCACAACTTATGAACCTGAGTGAGCTTTACTTGTTGATCCAGACGTTTCATTTATTTGTCGTCTTGTCAGTTTTTTATAATCTGTAAAGTCAAGACTGCAAAAAACAGGAAAATATGTCAACTCACTGATCGGCAAACTCACTGATTGCCGATCAGTGAGTTGATGATGTCAGTTCCAATGATTCCACATGGTTTCTTTTTCTTTTCTTTATTTTTGATGATTAAATTGTCCCAATCATCCCTTTGTCAGTCAACGCGTCTCTGTTTTTCTGACCGACTGATAGTCTTTTTTTGTTAGATTTACATAATGTTTGTGTCCACTAGGCCGGTGTTCGGACGGCTTGGGTCGGGAGATGGAAAAAATTTTGACGCCAGGCAAAAAATCGGGCTGAATGATGCAAGGCAACGCCTGGGAGGAGGAGGAGCAGGAGTAGGAGGAGGAGTAACCGGTAAGGGGTTATCGTGCCTCCAAGTCTAAACAACGAGGTGAACAGCTGAAGATTTAAGATTTCTATCTCTGCCCAGGTTTTCAAGTGAAGGACGCCAGAGAGAAGCTGGTGCAGAAAGACGCTCGGTTCAAAATCCGCGGCAGGGGAGGGGCGGCAGCGGCGGGAGGCGTGCAGGACGCCCGGCAGATGATCAACTCGCGCAAGCAGGTGCAGAGTCAGAGTCAGTTCGGCTCCCCTGCGCAGACCACACTAAAGGCAGCGATTGCGCAACAGCTACAAGGCAAGACCACCGTACCACAGATCCAGATCCAAACCGGCAGCAACCTTGCCGGCGCAAACGCCAGGCAGTTCACCACTACCATACAAGGACTGATTCCCCGAGTCGGCGCGACACCGCAGCTGAGCAATAGCGTCCGAGTAATGGACGCCCGCGACAGGCTGAGCCTGAAGAGGAGCATCGGAGGAACACAGACGCAAACAGCTGCGGAGCCGCCTCTAAAAATAACCAAGACCATCCAGGTGAGGGTGCAGAACGGTTTTTTTTTGTTTTTTTTTTCTTCTTGTTTTGATGAGTCTTAAAAGTACACGATCAAGCTCTTTTAACGATTACCGACTCGCTTTTCAGCAACGTCCAGCTGGGACCTTAGGTGGAATCCGTGCGATGACGCAGGTACATCTGTTTTCATTTTCAACAATACAAGATGTTATTTATCTTCAGCATTGGTTACGGCTGCAAAATGTGCTGCTTAATGAATAAATCTGTTTTCTCTCAGCCTGCCGCAAGTTCCCTTGACAGCATCGCCAGCAAACAGATAAAGATAACGACCGCCAACAACATGCTGCAGTCCCGGGTGAGACGGTCTTACAGTTCCTTAAGCGTTTAGATATTGTGGTTCCCACAGAAATAATAATCCTAAAAACAACTTCACACAGACTGGCCCCGCAGGGTCCATGTTTTCCATGACGGCCCCGATCACTAAGGTGGTTAAAAACGATGCCTACACGGCCCCGCGGCCCCCGGTCCCCGTGGCCCCCACCCGGCCCAACACCAGCACGGCGGCCGCTCGTTCCTCTGCTGCGGCGTTGCAGCCCGTGTCCAGGACTCTGCAGCAGAGCGCAACGGAGACCAGCACTGCAGCACCAACTCCTCCACAGGTACCGACCGCAGCTGGCGCCCACACGACTGCCCTCTTCTCACACCGTTGTCCTCCTCTGGCTTGTCTTCACTTTACTAATATCATGTCTGATTTAAGTTTCCTGTGGGGGAGAAAAATACATGTATAATGACTAGGTTGTAACAAACATTAAAAGAAAATTGCATCATGTGCATTTTGAAAAATTTGAGGCTTTTTTTTTTGGTGAGTTGGCCACAACTTTGAGTGAAAAATCAGTTTCCTCCATCAGAAAGTGGATCCCTGTAAGTCTAGCTAGATTACCATGGTAACAGAGGCGGCTTTCATTTTACATCTCCCGAAGAAGCGGGCCATATAACTTATTCTTTTAATATCCATGGATGAGGAAGAAAAACCCCTAAGACATTCATGTTGCCAGACAGACATTTCAAATGTTATTGAATTATCTTGATAGATTAAATATCTTGTTACAGTGAAATCTTTCCTTGAGTGCTGCACATGCAGATTTGAATCTTACTAGAATTTTATTCATTTTTTATTCACAAACCTTTGCAGTCCAGTGTTTAATGGACATCCTGCGTACATATTGTAGTTCCTTAACTACAGCAACAGACGGAGGAAGGACGGTGCTGTGATTCTTAATTCAATTTGTAGTTTGATAAATCTCTTTCTCTCTCTCTACGATTCTATGTAAAGGTCGCAAAACCGCATGACTGTAATGCGGTAAATTTAAGAAGTATGTAAGTTGTAAACAGTTTGTTTTTTCTGTCTTTTCAGCCTGCCTTCAGCCCGTTGGAGGGGACTAAAATAACGGTGAGCAACCTTCACCCACGGGTCAGTGAGGAGGACATAATGGTGAGTCCATCACTCTGTTTTTCACTCCACTCTCTTCCGTTTGTCGTCCTTTAACATGCTCGGTCTCTAAATCGGAGCGCGGCTCTGCTGCTTGTTTGTCCAAATAGGAACTGTTCTGCGTGTGCGGCGCTTTGAAGCGAGCGCGCCTGGTGAAGGTGGGCGTAGCCGAGGTGGTGTTTGTCCGTAAAGAGGACGCCGTCAGCGCATACAGGAAGTACAACACTCGCTGCTTGGACGGTGAGTGTAATAGAAACGGTTCTGAAACCCGTTGGTTCCAGAGCTACTGCAGCCGGGATATTTGGTTGAATATTTCTGTTTCTGCCAGGCCAACCCATGAAGTGCAACCTTCACATCCAGGGAACCGTCATCACCTCCGATCAGCCCATCCTGCTGTGAGTCATCCACTTTACTAGAACTCATCTTCCTCTGCACTCAGTTAATAATTTAATGTT